GGCTCACGCCATTGGTTTGGCGGAGGGCTTGTCCATGGTGGACGAACGCATCTGTGCGTTCAGAACCTGCGGCATCTCCCATAAATCATTTTTCCTAAGGTACGGCTTGTCATTATACGCCTGCGGGGCCTTTTGCCAGTTGAAGTAGGGATTTGGCAACCGCAAAGCGAAGCGAGCCAGCGGTAGATTCTCATGAACCGCATTCTCCCATATGGTGTCCTGCATTGTGCCACTGGTGATGCGAAAATAGCGAAACTGTGCAGCACTAGCGTTTCGATTTGTGTCGGGATCTACGCGGTGCGCTAAGACCGGCATCAGCGATCCCCAGTTGGCCTGACGGTTAATCTCCTTGTTCGCCTCGAAACTGTAAAAGAGCCGATTACCCGAGAAGATATACTGCCGTGCGTATTCGTACTGGAGACCCGCCGCGAGCAACAAAGTAAACCAAAAATTTGCCTTTTTCCAGCGCCCCATAAAGAAGGCGTAACCTAGCGGAGGAAATATGCTCGCGACGGCACGGGCCATGTAGCATGACTGACCGTCACTCCATGCCATCTTCCAGCCGTTCAAACTCGGGTCGCGAATGCGGAAGGGCCATGGACCGTGTGTATAAAGCCACTCATACGAGTAAAAATACCCTCCAATCCCAATCAGACCAGCGATGTTGACTCGCGCCACTCCCAATAAAAGTGCTAGGTTCCACGCAAACTTCGTCCGTGGGTTGCCTACAGCGCCAAACGAGTTTGCCGAACGGGCCAGAAACCAGTTAACAAACCAGATGTTGAGGCCTCCCATCCACCATTTAACACATTCATACGTATGCATCGAGTCCGTGTATGGCACCTCCTCCTTCACCCCCGTAAAGGCGTTCATGGAGATGAAGCCATATGGGAGTTTTTGCACGCCCAATTTCCGCACTTGGTGCGTCTCATCCAGTGGGTTGTATGGTGCAGAGACGTCAACCACAGGGCGTTCCTTTTCGCTATTAGATGGATCAATGTAGGAGTGCCAAAAAGTCATTTTATGCGGCTCCTGCGGCACGCCCTCTCTTGGCAAATTGTGGCCCTCCGATTTCAGGATGGAGCTCTGAAACGTCCGCGTAAACATGGCGACGGATGGCGATGATCCTCCAGTTGTGGCAGCCGCAACCTTCTAAAAAAAAAAAAAAAAAATCCCCTACAGTGACAAGGGAGTAAGAGTGAGAGAGAGTCCTATAATAATAATACCGCACTAATAATAGACACGGCAGCCTCCCTCTTGTTGCGGGGGCCCACCGTACAATTCCTACCCCTCCTCCTTTTTTTTGTTTTTGTTGTTGTTGTTGTTCTGCCCTCCGTTCTCCCTTTATTCTTTTTTTGGTACTTTTCCCTTCCGCTGCTCCGCAGTTCCTCGCTGCAGCTCACCGCCTTCTTGTCTGCCTCTAATGCTACGAGCAGCTGCGACACAAGAAAAAAAAAAGATATTCCATAAAAAAGAAATAATAATAATAATGGGACAGATATACACGTACATATGCATGTATATTTATATTTGTTTGTTATCAACAGCCAAAAATAAATAAATAAATAAATAAATAATAATAAAGCAGAAAGAAACCCGAGGTGCTCTCCATTGCAACTGTTGCTATCCTTTTTTTGGGGGGGGTTAAAGGTGTGGTTAATGGAATGTACCAACCTCATCCTCTCCACCTTTGCATGTGGGGAGATGAGAGAAAAAAAAAAGAAAAGGAAAAAGAGAGGGAGAGAGAAAGAGGGAGAGAGGGAGAGAGGGAGAGAGGGAGAAAGCACGTGCTCCCTCCATGTTTCAGCGCCCTACCCACTCCCCCATCCCATGTGTCTTCTGAAGGTCGCAAATGAGAGCGCTGCAGACTCACTAGAATCCACGCAAAACAAAGGCACATCCGCAATATCACCGGTGTGTCCTTCTCTGTCACCCCCCAAACGATATTGCCCCAACAGAAATCCGCCTTGTCAACGGCCATTTATTCCTTCTTTTCTTCCGTTTCCTCCTCTTTCTTCGTTCTTTGGGTACTTTGGAACCAACCAAAGACCCACATACACACACACACACACACACACCACTCTCCCTGTTCCTTGTTCTTTATTATTATTATTTTTTGTTGTTGTTGTTTTTTTTTCTTCTATTCATTCCCACCTCCTCCAGCGTCTTGCTTTTTTTCTTCCGCCATCCCTCTAATTTATACACGTCAAGTTAACTGGCCCCTAACAGACATTCCTTCCTCCTCATTCACTGCCCGCTATATGTATGCATGTACGTGTATGCGTATCCCTTTCTTTCCCGCGTCGCTATTAGACAATGCGGAGAAGGCCTAGCACTGGCGATGGGACTTCACCTTGCGCACAATATCTTCGAATTCGAGCTCCGTGACATCGTTCGCCTGAATGGGCTGAAACCCTTCCGTCATCGCATTCAACGCGTCGCGGCTGCTGCTGTACAACATCTTCGTGCGCGGGAGTCCCGAATCCGGGTTCCAGCTGACAAGAATAAGCTTGTCACGCTTTCCATCGTTTGTTTCATACTCAATGTCGTATGCAGCGTAGCAGGGGGTTGACTTGTCGATAGAATCCACAAATTGCTGGAATGTAGCGTCCCTCTCACCCACCGCCTTAACGGCTATATTCTTCTGGTCAATAATGTGAAGCATGACGTAACGGCACCTCTTCTGGCGAAGATCCGTGAGTGCCTTGATGCACTCATCGGAGACAACAACACCTGACATAGCCATGATTGATTATTATTAATTATATTCTTTTTTTTTTTTTCTTTTTTTTGAAAATATAAAAGTTAGCGCTAGGAATACTGTTTTTTGTTGTTGTTGTTGTTTTGTTTTGTTGTTGTTTTCTTGTTGTTGTTGTTGTCTCGTTATTTCCTTCTTTACCCTTGTGAAAGTCAATTCCCTCTTGTGAATGTGTGAATGCCGGAAAAACATAAAAATAGAGTGATTTGTCGGGCGGTCACGGCGGCAACAGCAAACAAAAAAAGAAAAGAAAAAAAAAGACATGCACATTATAAATACAAATAATGCCTTTTATGTCAACACGCGGCGCAAACGATGTGAAGAAAAGAACCGTACGCAAAAAAAAAGAATAAAATAAAATAATGACAATCATAACTCCATCATCATCAGCAGCAGCAGTCGCAGGGTTAGGGTGGACTACAGCCCGAGTAGGCCGCGAACAAAACTGTTGCTGGCAGCGCAGGGAAGAAAAAAAACGGGCTCAGCATCCAACGGTGGTGCCGTCGTTTCCACACGCTTGCCTGTCACGCTGCCATCAGAGGCTGCATATGTGCGGTGCGGGACCGGGGCCGGGTATGGATCCCCCTCCTCCGCTGCACCGCAAAGTACGCCAGTGTACAAAGTCCCGCTGAACGCGAGATAAAACACCGCCACAAGCCCTGCCGTGCTCTGCAACGGAACTCGCGGCGGCTCCAATCCTGTCGTTTGTGGCGCCGCCAGCTTCCTCCTGCTAGACAAATTGATGCCGGCAGCTGCTGTGGTACTTGCTGCAGCCTGTCGTGGACGCTTGTTGGGCGGCTGCATCCAAAGAGCGTCCGCTCCCCCAGCAGAAAGCCTGCGGGCACGTTTTTCATCCGCTGGATTGCGGGCACGACCGAGCACGACGGCCGATAACGCATCATCAGCCGACGGCCCCTCGTTTTCCTCCGCAGCCGCATCCATTTTTATTGCACGCCAAAAAGCCAACGCACTCTGGACTGTCTGCCCCTCAGCCGCCACGGAAGTGTACTGCGTCCGCAGCAGGTCTGCATCCTCCTCAAGACGCCGCAGGGCCTCTGCTTCTCGCACGGTAATTTCTGCACAGAAGACTTTCGCGATGGGTGCATGGACCTGAAGAGAAGAAGCGGAAGAGGGGAGAAAGCGCACGTGGATGTCGTAATTGTCTCTCTCCTGCTTGACAAACTGCGTCTTCCTACTCGTGTTGTTTGCTTCACTCTGAGAATGAGAGTATTCTCCTCCTTTTCTTTCGCTAGCAACCAACGGCATCACACGCGTCAAGACAAGATCTGCAATCCGCTGCGCCATCCCCGCAAGATACTCCCGTGGTTGTTGGACCCAAATGCGGTGCATCGCGCTCCCCGTGGAATAGCCCTGTTCCCTCCGCAACAACTCCAACAACGAAGACACCTCTGCGTCTTCAGCCCCCACAACTGCTGATCCGGATGACACTCCCTCACCATTCTCTGCACATCTCGCAGTGTTGTGTGATGCCGCAGCGGCGGCCCGACTCCGTAGACGCGCTGCTTCCTCAAGAAAGACGCCAAAAGGGTGCGGCGGCGAAGGCGGGTTGGCAAGAAGATCCACATACTGTCTCGCGCGACGGAGGCTCTGCGGTGTGATTACGCGCCCAAGATGTAGAAGAAGAGGCGGTTTTGCCCTGCAGGCCGAAGACGCAAGAGCCGCGCGTGAGCCCTCGCCTTGCATTTATTTTTTGGCTTTTAAACTTCTTTTACTGATTACGTAAAGAGACGATCCGAATGACTACACCCAACAGTAGCAGCAGCAATCATCCCGCGGAGCCACAGTCCCTCCCCTCAAATTGACGGCAAGGGATGCAACGTAAAATAAATAGATGCATATGCGTATATCATTGTCCCCTCTTCTACACCCACCACCTCCAACAGCGTGAAGAAGAGTCGTGGGGTTACCAAAAAAAAGTAACAAACACCCCACACACCCCAACGGTCTAAGAGTAACAAAATAAATACTCACAGACACAAAAAGACAGAGAAAACACACACACACACACAATAATAAAAATACACGAGAGAAAAAGCACACACAGACACACCCTCTCTAAATATATATATCGCCCCCTGTCCGCGTGCAAAAAAAAAAAAAAAAAAAAAACTTCAAAAATAAAAAAAAAGCAATAAAGCTGATCTATTGAACACTCGCCGCCGACCGCAGCGCCTCTAACATTTGCAACACCTCCTTTAGGGATGTGAGGTATTCCACCCACTGTTGACTTCCGCGGCACTGCGGAATTTCTCGCCACAGAAGCGATTTCACACGCCGGCGTAAATCCCGCTCTAGTCGTCGTAGCCGCTTATTTTCCTCCGGCACGGGGTCCTGAGAAGTCTCAGGTGCTTTGGAATCACCGAGCGGTGCAGCACTCACAAGTTGAGTGCTCGCAGATGCATGACCGCTAGTTTTCGCCTCAGTCGAATCACTTTTCATCGCTGGCGGAAAGCTGTGCGGGAGTGGTGAAGGAAAGGAGCTGTCTTGTCGTTTCCACGAAGAAGTGCGCCGCGGTGACTGTAGAGCCTTTTTCCGTGTAAATGCATCCCGCATCCCTCGAGAGGGTGAGGACCTTGCACTTCTGCCAGGGCAGGCACAGGTGTGTGCCTCACCGTTGCCGCCGGACGCACCTCGCTGGCGTCTTGGCGTAACGGTTATCGGCCGCATACACTCATCCACGACAACAAGAAAATAGCGTGCCACACACACAGAACAGTATGGATTCAGGCGACCGGGCCCAAGTGGACTCTTTGGGCGTGTTGTCGCGATCAATCTGCGTGTCGAGGACGCCCTGGTCCTTGTGGAGCGACGCACAAAAAATATCGGGAGTCTTCTGCCCCGTGCATCGTAATACTCCTCGCATGTGGGATCCAACACCCGGTGATACGCGTCGTTGTAGTAACAGTAGTACTCACCGGGAATGCCTTTAAACTCCTCATTTGCCCCGCCCTTCCCCACATCCAACTCCTCACGCCATGCCTGACGCCACGAGGGGCTGCCCTCCTGCTCTCCACGTCGTTGCCGCGGCACTGAAGGTTGACTAAAAAAACTCCCATGCGGAGCGGAATCCGTTTTCTCATCCCCATCTTGCCCGATAAAATCGCGAATTTTTGACGGAGGCGAGGGAGAGGGCTTCTTCTCGGAAGAGGCTTTTTGATATCCCTCCAGCGACTTCTGACGGGACAAATGAGACGGAGAATCTCGCACCTCAACAGGAGCGGTTTCCCCAGAGAGGCGACCCAACGGTTCCTCTTGCCGCAGCGGTGGCATCCCGGAAAGTTCTGCGGGCGGTGAAGGAAAATTTACAGCCGCCATATCCATGAGAATGGGAACTTCCTGATTTCCTGGTTTGGCGTCCCCTCCCGTGGGGCGTCGCCCAATTGGCCCTGCATGGGTCGACGAAGACGACGAAGATCCTTTCTGTGGGTCGATTATCCCTTGCATCACGTCCCCAGAACCACTCCGCGTTACGTGTGCCATTGGAAAGGAGGAAGAAATTCTGTGGTTTCCGTCCGTGTCCAAGACACGTGGCCCACCGGGAGACAAAGTTGGCCCCAGCGAGGGATACCGTATTGTGTTTAAAGCCTCTGAGGTCTTGGGGAACGCACGCGATCTTTCAGGTTCGCCACTGAGCACTGCTCTCACACGTTCCTGTAAAGCTGGTGTCAACGTTGATAGCATCTCCTCAATGCTGGTGTCACTCTCCCAGGGAGGCGTCCGCAAACCTTCCCCGCTGCCTCCTCCCGACCCGCGGTGCAGCGGCCGCACAGTGCGGTGAACGTACCAACTCACATCCGTCCTCGCCATCTCCATCTCCACACTGCTTGAAGATGAGCTGCCCACGACATGAGCAAAATCCTTCACTCGTGATGCCATGAAGGGGCCCTCGCGTTCCCCATCACCAGTCGCCGTTTTATTCAGCCTTTGATCTTCCCGTTGCTGATCGTTTTCAATGTGCGATGGAGCGGCAGGCAAAGCGGCGTCCTCCCGCTTCTCCAAAGTAACAGCCGAACTATGCAACAGGCTCTCCTCACCGCATTTGGGCTTCGCTGAGTCTGTTGAAAATGCCTCCTCGACTAAATCCACCGCAGCTGCAGGTCCACGCTTGGAGGAGGCTCTAATGAGGAGGGACGAATCGCTCATCATTCGCACAAGCATAAAATTGAACCAGCGGCGAAAGCATGCAAGCAGCTGTCGACCCTCCTTTTGTATAAGAAACTTTGCGAGTGTGCGCTCTAATTGACGCCCCCTCCTCGGTGACGCGCTCCCAGAGTGCTCTGAAGAGGCGGCATAGTCAGTGTGCGGAATCTTCTTCACTCGAGAAAGACCTCTTTCATTGACCGAGACCACCTCACTTGTCCGCTCTGCCAGCCGTGATGACTCACCCCCACGCTTGTCTCTCAGCATCGCCTTGCATCGTCGTCGGCTGCCCACCTTCCATAAGGCATCGGGGCGCTCTTCCTTGCGGCATATATCTACATGATCCTCCTCATTACTCTTGGCATCCGGAGTAGCCGCCAAGTTCTCCTCGTCAAACAGCTCCTTGAACACATGTGAGGGAGCAGCGGTAGGCGAAACGTTGCCTCGTCTCTTTTCATGCGGCGAGAAAATGTCCTCATCAGCCTGTATTCCATCCGCTCTATGCGGAAAAAAAATCGCACGCAAAGGCGAAATAGCCATAGCTGAAGCTTCCTCTTTCTGCAACAACACTGGCGAAGCCGAAATGTCCCCCAGAGTACGTATCATCCCCTGAGATAACGGTGGGCTTGAAGCCACATCTGTGCTCTCCATGGAGATAAAATCATCGCGCCGAGCTAAAGCACGCAACTGAACGTTCCTTTGATGCGCCCATGAATCCACATGTTCATTCCATTGTTGCTGATGCTCCACAAAAGTCCCCACGAGAATCACGGAAATACCGCACAAGGAACAAACACGACAAATGGTGCTCCGCACGGTCTTTTCTTCTCCCATCACCGCTACGGCAGACGACACCGGCATGGCGGCTTGTGATGCAGCACGGGTTTCGTGAGTGGAAATATCAATTGTGTGTAACGCGTCTAGACCCCGTGGTTGAGCGGGTGCTTGTGATGGACGTGCAGGAACATCGTGGAGCGTGTCATCACTAACCTTTAGAACTGTGGGCATGCCCCGTAGAACGCTCCTCGCATCCCTGGTTGGCGGAAGCTCGCTGGTGGGACGGATACGAGGAGGTGACTGCGGGCGGAACATAACGAACGATGGTGATTCAACACGAAGACTCAACACCGAAGAATCAGGCGCGGTTCGAACATTTGGCTGCTGATGATGATGATGACGATTTTGTTGATCTTTTTCTTGGCGCTGAGACTCATGCAGAAGTGCTGCACCGCTCGGGGTCCGTGGCAGTGTCTTCTCCGCCAAATTCCCCTGGGCCTTGCTGCCGGCCGCCAGAGGGCTGGACCACGGAGAAGTGGAGCCCCCTTTAAAAGAGGAGTGCGCCGTGACGGATGCAGTGGAGGGGTTGTCAGCCGCACTCCCCCGAGACACGTTGACACGAAACAATTCCTTCGCGTGATGACTCATTCACCTCAAGACAAGTATGCCACTGCAGTGGCGGTGCAGGACCGTCAATGCGTGCCCCTCGCGGTGCGTACCGCCCTTCTAGACGCACGATTCCGTCAACGCTGGATGGCGTCGGCTGCAAAGAAATGTGGCGCGCAACCGTACCTCGCCTCTGCCCTCCTCCTCCTCCACCCCTTCTACTGGCTACTGCAGCTAATACTTCCTCCCCGACAGTTGGAGCGGAAGGACGCTCGGAACGCGTCTGTGGAAAAATGCGGAGACAAAAGCCACAAAAGGGGAATTCATCAAGAAAGAATCACAAGCAAAAATAAATAACAATAAATAATAATAATAATAAAATAAGAAAATTCCATGAAGTGAAGAAAAAAACAAAAAAAGAAAAGGCGGAGGGATAGAAAACTTTCAAAAGTCACAATCGGCCAGAGTTCAAGGTTGAAGGACATGTGGTTGGTCATGCGTCATTGTGCCTGATGCCCTTTTTCACCCCGCCTTCGAGCGGCAGTGGTGGTGGTTGGGTTTTTTCGGCCCTTCTTCCTCCCTTCAGCCCTCTGATGCGTTGGCTTCGTGCCGTCCTCGTCCGATTCTCCCAGCAGCTGCGCCATAGCCGTTGCGGCAGCGGCGTTTTCGTAATTGATTGTGCTAACATGATGCACCCGATAGCCTCGTTTCAGAAGCTCGATGACAATACGGGCGATATTGCGGGAATCATCGATGCCGCTGTGTGGATGGCCGTGAAAGGACAGCCCCAACTTCCGTAGCATATCATTCAGCTTGCGTGGGCGCATTCGGAAGTGCTCGGCAAAACTGTGACGCACATTCACCCAGCGGTAGAAGAGGGGAGGGAACAAATGTCCATCCCGCACCACACTGCACTCGTACATAAATTTCCGCATATCCCATGGGCCGTCTGTTACCATGCATATCATCCTCTCGCAGTCAATCCAGCCCGGGTTATGGGTCTCGTCGTAGACAAAACGCCTCTTCTGCGACGCCTTCAGACATTTGTTCAGCCCCTCTAGATGCTCCTTCCTCCAGCGGCGGCAGAGCGGGTACACCACCTCCCGCAGCCAAAGGTCAAAATGCCGCAGTACTTCCGGCAGTCGTGGAGCTGCATCCACTTGGGCCTGCGTAATCCCTGTCAGAGCGGTGCAAAATGACGTCAAGCGGGGGTTTTTCGTTGGCCGCACGTATGAGTGAAATTCCGCCACAACACGCAGCTCCGCCGTGTCCACGCAAACCACCGGAAACTCAATAATCTCAAGGGGATAAGCCACGCTCGCGCTGTCGCAGGTGGCCTCAAAGTCACACACAAGCAGGTGAGAAAAAATC